GACTCACTGACGCATCTAAGGCTGAATTATATGGCGAGGTGGATCAACAAAGGTCTCTTAGCAACGGTCTGCAAAATACCGACACTAAAGAGTCTGGATCTATATTTCAACTATGTCGCCAATATAAGTGCAAAACTTAAAACTTGCTCTCAGCTCAGTGAGCTTGACCTTTCAAATACTCACATGACTGAACTGACCAAAGGCTCGTTACGACTAATGAAGCAACTACAGTCCCTAACTTTAGCAACCAACTTAATCACCAAAGTGCCAGATGACATTAGGAGTCTCTACTCTCTTGAGATCCTAGATCTTGGTGACAATATTATCTCGGAATTGGTGTGTGAGGATTTCAAAAACTCAACACGCCTCACAGAGCTTTATCTGAACACCAACCGCATTGCTAAACTGGACGGATGCGTGTTTGAAAATCTTAATGATCTTAAGATTTTAGATATTAGTGACAACCTGCTGTGGACATTTGGAGGCGCCTTTAAAATAGGCCTGCAGAAACTTGAGTACTTGGATTTGAGCAAAAACTTTATACTTATTCTTGAAAAAGGGGATTTTCAAGGTTTAAGGTCCGTAAAATATTTGGATTTGGTGACAAATCGTATCGGAAGGGTGAAACGTAGGGCTTTTGAAGGACTGAACAACCTAATCACTCTCAGTGTATCTCTTCCACTTGAGTATGAAAACCACTTCAGAGAATTGCCGCACTTAGAAAACCTTACAATCTACATCAATAACGCTGGCGGATTCAGAACTCTTCCAAGTCAAGCAAACTATCATGAAGCTTCATTTCACTTAAAATCTCTGAAAATTTTCAAAATAATATGCACAGGATATCCTCATGGCTTCCCCCTTGACGTAGCGGAAGAAATTCTCCAGGCTATGAAACATTTAGAGGACTTCACAGCTGAGAATGTGTATATTTCCTCACGAGATCTTAAAACATTTCAATTCAACTTTCGGCTCAAGAGTCTGAAAATTTCTCAGACTGATTTGTCAGATTTGAATCCGGAACTGTTTCAGCCAATTCCAAACCTGCAGGCTCTCGATTTTTCTGAAAGTAGGCTCCAGTCTTTGGATTTTCTGGCCCAGGCAAACCTGCCTGCACTCAGACAATTAAAGCTGAGTGGCAATGAGATTACAGTGATCAATGAGACAGTCTTTCAGTCTCTCCCAGCACTAACATACCTGGACCTGGACAATAACCCTTTCACTTGTGACTGCTCTAATGCCGGTTTTATCCAATGGGTGATGAACAACAAACAAACACAGGTTGTGAAAGGACATGAGTACACTTGTTCCTTTCCTGCGGCCGAGCAAGGAAACAAGCTGCTGGACTTTGACATCCAGTCCTGCTGGATGGACGTTAGCTTCCTCTGCTTCGTTTCCAGCACTTGTCTGATTGTGCTAACTCTCCTCTCATCCTTCATCTACCACTCTCTGAGATGGCAGCTGACCTACACCTTCCACCTCTTCCTGGCCTTTGTCTATGACAGCAGGAAGAGGAAGAAGGGAGCTCCTTACCACTACGACGCCTTCATCTCCTACAACGTTCACAACGAGGACTGGGTTTACAGAGAGATGCTTCCAGTGCTGGAAGGAGAGCAGGGCTGGAGACTGTGTCTGCATCACAGAGACTTCCAACCAGGTAAACACTCTCAATCTCAATCCCTCTTTAATTAATTAATTCACCACCAAGTGTGAACCTATCATGACGCCACCCATTGGTCAGGTTGGGAGTACTGTTTTGGCCCAATGGTCGTTGCCATGTTTGTTTTTACATCTTTTTATTCCAGATAAACAGTAAAATATGTTTGTGAACAGATTTGAGGAGAGAAGTAGTCAACAACACAATCTGGAACCATACCTGGTCAGCACTGCCTAGTTTGATAGTTTGATCTTAGTTTGGTGCGTTGAGCTGGACAGACTCAATGAGAATGACCTGTCAATCACAAGGTAGCCCCACCCTAAATGCCTTTACACACAAAAAATAACACAAAAATGCGAAATAGTCGCCTGTGAATATGTTGCATTAAAATTACTCACACAAGCAGTGACACAAGAATAAAAAATGAACACACTTACCGCAGACCAATCGGGGGTGTCTCAAAAAGAGAGGTCACATACACTGGGTTCATCTTAGCTGCCTGTCCCGGAGCTCCAGTCTGGTCTAATAAGCTGTATTAATACATTAAAACGCCACAAACAAACACACAAACTAATGGAGAAGATAGCTTAGAGTTACTCCTCTGCCTCCTTTAATGATA